CCCTGAACCCTGGAAGCATATTTGATCGACGGAGCAGCCCAATGAACCTCGCGCCCATCCCGGCCCAGAGTAACCCCAAGATGCCCCCCGCGGAATTCAAGCGTCCGGCCGTCGGGGAAGATGCCGATCGCAGACATCAGTTCCCTGCAAGGCGCCGCGCTAGGCACTCCGAGCGGAAAGTGGATAGACGTTTGCGCGTAGACCAGCAGTTCCAGCAATGTGCCAGGCTGGCAACATGTACGAAATGTTCGGAATATGTTGGCCGCGTCGATACTATCGTCGTCCGCGAACGCAGCTGACCAGCTCAAGCCTCTCGGAATCCCTGTCAACATGCACCTCAGAATGGGGTCCATGATCACGCAGAATACGGCGCCTGAACATGGACATCCTTGCTTGATCCTTCGGGGGAGGGGGGGGGCAGGAGCGAGTGCCCGTGGGGCCCGCAGAAGCTCACATCTATGATGGCGTTCGTGCACAGGGCCTGGATACACTTACAGATGTTGGACGGGAGTCCCATGCAGGCGAGAGCCCAGAAGATAATGGAGTGCAAGAGTCTGAGAGCTGATCTAACGTCCAAATACAGCATGCTCGCAAATGTATGTATAAACGTTTTGGGTAAACCAAGTAACAGCACGGTCTTCGAGGTCTGCGATGTGCTCGAACATGTAGCGCCCAGGGATGAAACGACGCTGACTCTTTATCCTGAAGAACGGTTTGTTGAGAGCAAGCGAGATGAGTCTGTTGTCGGACTTGGCTAGCGTAATCGGTATAGCAACGTCGGGCTCGCGGATGATCTGGGCGGGGATATCCTCTGGATCGATGCCCCTGGCTAAGAAAACAGCCATGCCCCGATGGAGACCCTCGGGCAGGATGCCCCGCTCGAGCTGCACGGAATAAAGACCGCGCAGAGACTCGACGACAACTGCACTCCCCGCGCGTAACAAGCATACGGAAGCCCATCGGGTCCAGGAAGCGCAGCACCAGTCCGAGAGATCATTTCCTCCAACTCAGGGCGCTCCAGTTTCCAAACCACAACGTCGGGGCAGGTTTGAACGAATCTCGCAGCCATTGTCGATGCTCATCCGATCCTGGAGCACTTAGGTGCAACTGTCCCCTGTGCTCGGACAGAAACCTGGCGACCTGACTTGGGTCCGCGGTGGCCTTGCCGATAGATCCGATAGGGTCGGAGACGCCAGAAAGAAATAGCCTACGATGCGTTCTCCCCCGATGCTGTCTGGTACCTGTATAGTTTCAGGTTGTCGTTGTGCTAACGCTGGTCGGAGATAGGCTGCTGCTCGTCATCGATGAGCTGCTGCTAGATGTACTCAAGCTTTAGCGCGTTCAAGTGGGAGTGGAAGCCTCGAATATCGAATCGGGGTGCAAACCTGACTGCCCGCAGGGAAAGGTAGACAGGATGGGGTAGGCGAGGACAGCCTTGCGAACTAGCCACAAAAGACACGAAGAGTGCCACGCGAAGCAGACAGAGACCAGGCGACCTTCTCTTCTGAGGACTTGTTGGCTTGCTCGAAACTGTGTTGCGTCACGCTGCTACTGGCTTGCACTCGGATGTCCTTGATTTGCGCGTGCTCGATGATGGGTTTATTGTCGAGCTGACCAATGGCAAATGAACGTTCCTGCGCGCAGGTTTGGTAAAGAACATTCTTGGGCACCCACGAAAGAACTCGCCGGGGGGAAACGCAAGGCAAAACGGCGCGCGATCTGAGAGCTGGCCAACCATTGAGATCGGGATGACAGTGAGGGGCGCTGGGTGAATCTCAAGGAGGAGTGAAAGATGTGTATGTGTGTTGGTATATGTTCGATCAACTGACTCATACGCACACCTTCTGGGTACCCTCGATCTCCTCAGTGACGCGATCCGTGAACGAGGACTGATCAACTTCGCAAAGACCATTAGAGTGCTATTGCCGCATCATTGCTCGAAAAGTGAACCACCCCACTGGTGTAAATGGAGCCTTCCCCTAGGGCTGGAAAGCTGCATTCTCCAAAAGCACAAAACTGGCAGCGGCGTGGGCTGACAGAAGGAGAAGGGAGCGTTGGAGGACCATGAGTTGACGCCTGTTCACAGAGGAAGGACGGGATCAGGATAAACGTTAGAGATCTGGAGCTGTCACCACATGTCAGCGACTGAATTCGCCATTCGACGAGCTCGACATATCTGCAGTACTTGAAATCCTCGCGGAGCGAGGGGTGGATAAAGATGATGACGCCTCCATCAGCCCGATCAAAGAAAAACGACCCAATCCCACATGAGTCGAATACTTCAGAGCATACCCTCTGGAGATCTAGATACGAGCCATTGGCCTCCTGGATGCGCACTATCTGGTACTTCTGGATATAAGTTACTCGACGTGATACTTTGTTCTTGACTGTGGCCAGAGACGAGGTGGGCTCTCCAAGTAGACCGTGAGTTCTAGGAAACAGGACTGACATGACCTTTTCACGTGCAAGGGGGAATGTGTGCAATAACCAGGAAATTAGAACATGCTGAGGCCCAGCGGAAGGCTGCAACCTGGAGGCCCCAGCCGACAAAGAGCACCCAGACGAGGAGGCCCCAGAAGTAGATGAGGAAGAGATGGAACAAGAGGCGGGCGTGCGCCTGCCGTACGGACTTACCGGACCAGGAAGCCAAGAAGGCGAAACTGCTCAAGCGCTGATCGGCGCTGAGACCTCTAGGTGCTCCTGGCGGTGGCGATGACGGACTTAGCCTGCTCGGTGGTGATGCCAAGCTGGTTGGGACCCGCCTCGACGAACACGATCTCGTAGTGGCCGAAGCAACCAAGCCATGGGTGGAGGAAGCTCGCAGTGGAGATCTCAAGATGAAATCGTGTGTTAGGTTGTTCGGGCTTGCAAAGAAGATTCAAGATGAGGTGTACTTCCTGACGCCACGATGAGCCACGATGAAGTTGTTGCTAGTACGAGCCACTGTTCAGCGAAAGAAGGTGGCACTCGTCGATCTGTCTGAAGACTTCCTTCACACGCCGATCAACAACGCTATTTGGGCATGGCTGCAAAAAGAGTAGCAAGAATCTCAAGACACGGCGTGAAAATTGAATTGCACGTTGTACGGTTTGCACGAAGCCATGATCTATTTCGACGGAGCTTTCGCATCAGTGGTGACTGGAAAGACCGTTTACCCAGGTCGTTCGAAGTTGAGCTTCAGACGTTTGAAATCGGACCCAGCAGCGTACCACATGGCGTCGTTTCGTTCAGCAAGCACGTGAACGACGGGCTGATCACAGCAGACACCGAGGAGAAGAAAGACGGGCAGCTGGACCAGATCAGCGAGTGTTTCCTGATGATGCGCACGGGGAGTCTCGTGAAGAGCCAGATCTACGATCACCTGGGGCTCAAGCTGCGAGCCACGGGGGAGGAGCCTTTGCTCTGAACACGAAAGAGGAGACTATGTGGAGGTTAATTCGAGGGCTTGGACAGGAGAAGTGCAGTGCTATCTCTACGCCGGGGGTGAAAGCCGGGGCGAGGAAGGAGAACCCACACTACAAGATGGACCAACACGACAATGCAGGTCATTCACGGGCTCGGTCGTATTTGCTGGGCATCAGCGTCCAGATTCGCAGTGCACGATCACGGGGGTTTCTCGTGGGATGTCCAATTCAAGCTCAGGAATTTGTGCCTGAAGCCAGACGTGGAGCTCGAGAAGAAGATCGAGGGCGAGGTGGATTCAGATTGGGCAGCAAATTGCATGGATCGCAAAAGTACGACGTGTGCTCACATGTATCATGCTGGAGTCCTGGTGGTGAGCTACAGCCGCACTTAAGGGACTATTCCAACATCAGGTGCAGAGGCAGAGAGATATGCTCTGACCAACGGGGATTCAGAAACACCGTACTGTCAGGCTATCTTGAGCGAGCTCAAACCGTTCGAGAAGGTGACGCTGAGGAACGACGAATCGTCAGTCATCAGTGCCAGCAGCAGGCTGGGGCACGGTGAGCTCATGAAGCATGTGCAGATCAAGTTTCTCTTCATCCAAGAGCTCGTGAGCCAGAAGAGGATCACCATCAAAAAGGTCGGAACGGAGAAGAATCGGGCAGACCTTGATACTACATATTTTGACTAGACGTCTCACCACTCCAAAATGGCCAAAGGGGGCCTCCCGTGGAACCCAAGACGGCCCCACGACGGCCCCCAGACACCCACTGCACGGCCAAAGAGGACCTCAAGACGACCCAATAGAGCCCCAAGGCAGCGTAAGAGGGCCCCAAGACGGCCCAAGGCGACCTAAGGGACCCCAAAGACGCCTCACGGGACCCCAAGACAGCTCCTCAGACGGCCCGAACGAGTTCCATGAGAGGTCCTCAAACAGTTAAGACGAAAGGTCTCATTTGTGACGTCATTCCTCTTCCTCGGACCCAGAGTCGACTACGTGACCCTATACAAAGAGAGCCCCTTCGGGTGCGGCTTCAGGGGGGCGCGGGGGGGCAAAACCCCGAGCGAGCAAGCTGCTGCTATCATATTTGATTCAGCGATTGGGGGATCCAAGCGGCGGGTTCCGGAAACCCTGACACCCCAAACCACGTGCATTCTATCGGAGGGTAGCTCCTTACTTCCGCTGGCGTCCGCTGGCGGAACCGCCCCCGTTTTACTCCCGCCGCCTTCCGCCGAGGAAGAGATGTCCGAGTGGGCCCGCACCGTCACTCCGGCGACCGGAGCGTTCCCGGCGAGGCGCAGCTGCCGGAACGCACGCCGAGGCAACAGCACCGCAAGGAACCCGCAAAGAATGCCCGTATGCCCGCGCGAGCGTGCCCTGACATCCGCCGATCTGATTTTTCCACTCCGGGGCCCAGGTCCCCGATCTCTTTGCAATGGTCCTGGGGCCAGACGTGGCCCCCGAAGGCCCAAACCGAGGAAGATCCCGCCCGTGGCAAACACCACCCGTCGCCGGAACCTGGGTGCGAGTCTTGCGTGCAGTCGCTGCCCCTGCTCCCCCGTGGGCGGGCCGCGCTCCGGCGGGCTTCGCGCGCCTCGGGCTTGAGGTCACGGTGGCAGATGCCGCGGTCGTGGAGGTACTCGAGTCCGAGCGCGACCTGCGGCGAAGCAGCGCCGCCGGCCGCTGGCCGTCCACGTCGCGCAGGATCGAGGAGCGAGCGCCGATCGACGATCTCGGTGGGAGCCAGGAAAAGCGGCACCAGCGCCAGGAGCCATGGGAAGTCCTGGTGGTGTGCTCCCCCCTGCCCGCTCGAGACATCCCCTATCCCCAGCTCGGGGAGGCAGCGTGGACCTCCTCGCTGGAGGTGGCACCCCTGGTGGTGGTGGCGTCGTTCTTATTCCTCCGACCTGGGCGACGTCCTCGTTCTCGTCATCTACATCGTCTACGTCGTCGTCGTCGTCGTCATCGTCGTCGTCGGCGGCAGCGGCGGCAGCGGCGGCAGTCGTCGCCGTCGCCGCCGTCGTCTAAGTCGCCCAGGATCGACGATCAAGGGCCGAAAATCGGGGCGAGCTTGACCTGTATATCGCATTAAGGAATCGGGCCCCGACAAAAAACTTGTCCGGTTAGTTTTGCCGTTTTCAGGCTCCCGCGGGCACCTCCTCAGAGGGTCAAAGGACGACCAGGGATGAATAACTGATCCTGAGGACCCCTTCGGGGCTAGGATCCGTTTCCCTCAGGATCCGATCGAAGGCCGAGAATCGACCGAAGTAGGCTTACATATGACACTAGAACCCTCGCGCGCGTTTCGTGCGCGCTCAAATTCTACATGTCTCGGAGTCCAACGTGTAGCGGCGCAGAGACACCGTGCCGAAGTAAGAGGAATCCGTGCGTTCCAAAGTCAGCGCGCATTTGTGTGGAAGCCCCTTGGGGCCATTCTAGGGGTTTCTCTTGGAGGCCGAAGTAGTGGGCCCAGTATGCCTCCGAGCGCTGTAGTAGGCGGGCAGGGGAACCTCGAGATGGATCAAGGCGGTCCGAATTGGGCCCTATCAGGGCACGAAGGCAGTGGAAAGGGTGGGACACTGGACAGTTCGCGGCCGTATTGCGGAGATGTCTCAGGCCATTTGCACTTGCTTCGGCGCCCCCGACTCTCACGCCTTCAAAGCAGATTGCGACGATGTCTCAGGCGCTGTACTGGTTTCAGCACCCCCAGGAGGAGCTGCCAGGTGCGGGTTTCACAGCACTGTTCGCGCCTAGATTGCGGGAATGCCTCAAGCGGTTTGCCTGTTCGGTTGCCCAGCCTCCCCTTTGTTCAGGGCAGACTGGATGTCTCAGCCGATCGGTTGGTTTCAGCACCCGAAGGGGAAGTCGCGAGGTGTGGCTTCACTCCCCCGCTTGCAGCCAGATTGCGGGGATGTCTCCAGCGGTTTGCCTGCCTGCTGGTTGCCCAGGCTCCTCTGCTGTCAGGGCAGGCTGCGAATCTGTCTCAGCCGATTCGCTGGCTTCACCACCACAGGAGGGGAGCCGCCAGGGGGCGGCTTCGGAGCGGCGGCAAGAAGCCGCGCAGCAGGCCGACACGCCCGCCGCGTGCTCTCCTGGCCTGCGACGGTCCAGAGGTCAGGGGAGGCAGGCAGCCGAAGGGCAGGAGAAGCGGCTGTGCAGCTGGTTCCCCCCCCCCGCCTCGGGGCGCCAGATGCGGCCACAGCATCAGGGAAGGAGCCCGGCGGGGTCGAAACAAAGAGCAGCTGTTCGCAGCCATTTTCGCACCCGCCTCGTTCCCACTCCCCCCCCCATGTCGTCCGACCCGAACCTGGGGAGGCAGCGCACCCATGTAGGACGAGAGCGATGTCACAGGGCTCGAGCCAAACAGTGCGTTCCGTTATCCTTGTCTTGTAAATTTCCTTCGTTCTGTCTTCGCTCCACCTTTGCTGCAAAACGGAATCAAAACGAAAGCCAAAAACACCGTCACCTTGAGACCTGCGATGCCATGATACGACTGGCCCAGGACACGCGCCAGGAGCTCCAGAACAAAATCCAGCGGCCCTCGTTCCTAGAGCCCGTACCTGTACGGAACAACAGGGAAGCTGGAGAACAAGATCCTGGAGCGCACCATGTCCCCACGGCCCCTTGCGCCTCTGCTCGTGGTGGCTCCAGCCGCCCGAGCCTGGCTTGGAGGGGTGCCGCGGGGGGGGGCACCTCGACGGTGAAGAACTTGGCCTCGCGACCGGCGCGCGCGGGGCTCGGGGGCGCAGGAGAGCCCAGAATCGAATCGATGAGTCGGATCGGCGATCGAAATGAATCGGGTGGGCGGAAATCGGCAGCCGAGTCGGGAAAGTCGAATCGGCAGAAATCGGCAGGCAAGTTATGCCTCGAATAAGATATCAGAACCTAAATCGGAATCCCAAGTCTAATCGAATCGGAATCAGAAACCATCGAAATCGGTTCAAATCGAATCCGAGGAATCGAAACGAGCCCCGGGGGACGTCGGGAAGCGAGCAGCTTGGCCGCCTCCTTGTGCCCCTGCTGCTGCGCGCGCGCCGAGCAGAGCTCGCCACGCCCGCTGGCGCTCGCTGGGCGCACCGCCGCGCGATGGGGTCGATGAGCAGGCTCCCGGCCCACCATCCCCCAGACCCCCCACGTCCTCCTCCTCCTCCTCCTCCTCCTCCTCCTCCTCCTCCTCGTCCTCCTCCTCCTCCTCCTGCCCCTCCTCCTGCTCCTGCCCCTCCTCCTCCTCCTCCTCCTCCTCCTCCTGCTCCTCCTCCTCCTCCTCCTCCTCCTCCTACTCCTCCTCAGCAGAGACACGATCCACCACAGGCTCTGTGTTTGCCCTGCCGTGGACGAGCTGAGCAATGAGGCTGTATCTGCCAAAATCTGGCACAAACCTAGCGGCCCGCTGTATAAGTCGGATCAAAGTATGTTCGATCGCGGGATCTTTGGGCATCCCAGATCGTTCTGGCCCCTATCCCTTACGGCCAGTCGGCGGGTCCATAGTTGTGTCTACTGATGAAGAGGACTCCTCGGAGGACTTGGACAGCGGGCAAATTCACTGGAAGGTTCTCAGTTATGGTAGCTGTTTGTGGCGTCCGATCTCGGAACTTTCGACGGCTGGTTCGGGTATTTGCATGATCTCCCCTCAGGGCTCCCTCCTCTGCTCCATTCATGGACCCGTGCATGCTCCTGTCAAAGTGTCGCACTGGTTGTTGTTGTCTTGGCATGCCACCTTCAGGGTCATGTGGAGGGATGAACCTCCCAAAGCTCGATGTTGCTGATGCTTTATTTAGGCCACCCTGTAGTTGTGTTGCCATGACCAGACGGAGCGGACTTTCTCTTGTGTGGCGGCTGTGGAACCTATGTGCATCAAACTGTTTTCATCAAGACATGTGTCGCTAAGCCTCGCCCCCGAGAGCTCAAGGGCCATGGTAGGCCGAATTTCAACACCACCATGGCTGGTGTGCATACCAGGAAGGATTTTTATTGGTTGGGCACCCTGACGAGGTCCTCACTGGGTCCCTGTCCTCTTCGCCCTTTGAGCCTCGCTCCCCCACCCCCCACCCCGATGGACGAGAAGGAGGGCTTAGCTCTCCGTCGTGTGGCTTCCGCACTCAAGCTAGAGGAGACGGCCACGGGAGTGTCTGTTGCGGCTGGCCCTGGCTCGGCACAGGCCGCTGCTGCATCCAATCGTTCAGAGGGTTTTGGTGGGATGGAGGATTCTGTGGATGAGCTCTGCCGAGTGGCGGCGCTCCCTCGTCCTGAGGCAGCTGCCACGGGAGCTAGGCCGATTTCGGGCCCTTCTGATGTGAAGAGTGTGGCCCCTCATTCCTCAATGTCTGATGACTTATGGTCAGGTCTGTGTGTCTCGTATCTCGTTTATGCCCGACTGTGTAGGACCAGCTGTTGTGGCGGCGTGCTACCAGTAGTTGTTCATCTGTACCATGCCGGTCATCGTTCTACCATGTTCTGCCCCGCCTTTTCGGCTGGGGCTCTTAGCGGTGTGGGTGGGGATCCTTCATCGCCATTTTCTATTCGCATACGCAGCCATTTTGAAGCAGTCTCGGCTGAGCCCTTCGTCGAACCGTTTCTCTTTGGCTCAGTGGCGCTTTGGTAACGCCTCAGGTTTCGCTGTGCCGTTCTGCTCGAGGCGTCTGCTCGGATGGCCGTCCAACGCAGTCCACATCAGCAGTTGTTGTGCGCAGTGGCGTTCCTTGTTGATGGGCCTGTTTTCCACCGCCACGACCATAAAGTGGAGGGGGGAAGGAGGTGGAGGATGAGGAGGAGGAGGAAGAAGAGGGTGAGGAGGACCCCCTCCCCCTCCCACGTATGGTGGCGGCGGTGGACAACAAGCCCACCACTTGTGCTCCCCACTGCCGCGTCCACTGCAGTTTGTTCGGTTGCTGGCTTGCGCTGGTGGAGCTTCAGCTGGCTGGGACGGTTTCCTCAGCCAGTTGTGGTTCATCGCGCCCCTCAGGGAGGACTCGTCATCCCACTGCTCCCTCGTTGGGCAACTGGCCGCTGATGCCAAAAAAGAATTAGCAGCATTCCTCACTCTTACCCAGCACCATACCTGATTGTATTGAACTCTCTTTCTCTCTGTCCCCACGACATTCGCTCGTCTCTTTTATTGACGTCCCTTATCAAAAAGCGTCCGACGGCTTCGCACGGCGGGAGCGCGTAGTCGCGCTGCAGATACCCAACGACGTACATCGAAACAAACGGTTCGAAATCACCACGTCTCTGCAAGCTGAGGGCACAGAAAAGGAACTGGCTGGAACAAACAACCGAAGTGTGCCAATGGGCAAGGGTGGGTTCGCGGGAGCCAAAAACTACAGACGACGGTGCTTTCCCATCGTACCAGAGCGATTCAACAGCAAGCTAGAATCATCACTCCCTACCCTTACCCCAACACCGAATCTGATTGCATTCAACCCGAACTCTCTCTCAATCCCCACGACATTCGCTCTTCTCTTTTACTGACGTCCCTCATCAGAGAACGTTCAAAGGCTTCGCGCGGCGGGAACGCGTAGCAACGTTGCAGATACCAAGCGATGTACATCGAAACGAACGGTTCGAAACCACCATAGCTCTCACGATAAGTGGATACTGGCGTAGCCGTACACGAATATATACAAGACACGATACCCAGATGTCCAGGCGAAGTGCAACACATCTGGCATATGTGACCACGCCCGGGTGCCAGCGCTTTGCTGAACATTGCTAATCTTGGACAGTCGCCGTAAGATGCGACTGTGCTCGCATATCTCACAACCGACGAATGATTTATCACTGGCCTCTTCGCTGCACCTCCTGTAACGTGAGACGATTACGCAGCCTATGCTCCGAAGGTTCACGATGGCGGACCGCACGCGGGCACCCCTTGAGCGCGTTGAGCCCGAGCCCCTGGGAGCCCGGTCTGAAAATCTTTTCTGATGGCGCCAAGGAGACGCGAAAGATGTGACCGCGCGGCCGCCGAGCTCGATCGCTCAGGCGCTTGAGACGGTTCCTCGCCCAGCGCCGCTTGCCCATGCCCACTCTGATGCCCGCGTTTTTGAAGCCTTTCTTCGCGGTCCGCTCCTGCTCGGGGTCACCCAGGACGATGATCCACGCGCTTCTCAGGCATCGCCCCAAGGCGTGGCCCTCGCCAGCGAGGAACTCGTCCGCGAAATGCTCGCACCTGAGCCCGCACGCGGTGTTCGCATCCAGTAGCTGGCTCTTCTCCAGCACCCGCTGCTCGAACAAAGCCAGCCTTGCCTTGTGCACCTTGAGGGTCGGCGTGGTCTCCGCGGCCAACCTCGGCCTCTGCCTGGCGGGCGCCGCGCGTTGAGGCTCGGCCAGGCGCTCGGCGGCATCTCGGCGGCGACGGCGGCGAGCTCGCTTTTCCCTCTGCGACTGCCTGGACGGCCTGCCCCGCGCGGGCGTGCAAACAGAGCGCCCGGTGCTCGGCGATGCGCGCGGCGCCCTCTTGGGCTGCGTCACCGCCTTCAGCGCCGAGATCGCCGACCCCGGGAACGTCTGCGCCGACGTCCGCGCGCAGCGACTGGCGACGCCCGCGGCGAAGCTCCTGCCCCCGGATCTTCACCCACGATGGCTCCACGGGTGAGCCGAGGGCAGCTCCCGCAACCACGGGGCCATCCGCCCCCTGAATCTCGCGAGCCACAGCGTTGGCCGCGGACGCACAAAGAGCGCCAGGATAACGACCGGCGAGCTTAGTCCGAAGAACGCCGCGATACACCCCATCGCCCCTTTTACTCGGACACGCCCCACCAACGGAACATGAACATGTTGTTTGTCGCATTGCACGGCAAGCTGATGGACGCACTGCGAGTTAATCATGATGTAGGCCGGCTTCTTGCGGTCTGCATTGTACATGCACGTGTCGAAACGAGACGAGGTGAATCTTCTGCAGCCCTAAGAGACCTGCAATAGGAGGGAACTGCCAGAGCCTGCTCGACCGAGGATTCCCCAGTGTCAACGACGCCCCGCACCGCGCACATTCACGAACCACTTCAACACTGAATCGAGAATCCCATTCCGAGGTGCCCCCGAGCCCTTGCCCTCGCCCAATTCTTGATTCCCCTTCGAGCGATAGACCAAAGGCTGTATGGGGTCCCCAGGTGAAATCGTCGAATTCTCCCTTCTCTGATCTTCCTCAAGACGGACTTACTGTTAACTGATCATATCGAATTCTGCCCCAAGCTGCAACTCGCGCCCAGGCCTGGCGGAGGCTGTGCGGAGGCCAAGGCGCTGGCAGGCCGATGTCAAGCCGGCGGCCCCAGCGAACAGCTCCAGGATCACCGAGTCCCTCCGGCGAGCCGCGAGCCCAAGCCGAGGCGGCCTGAGGCGCGCGCCGAGGCTCTTCCCCGACGGCCGCCTCCAGCGACAGGCGAGCCCTCGACAGGCTGCTCGGTGGGGCTGGGCACTTCTGGGCACTCGACTGCCTCGATCGGGGGCGGGGGCAGCTGGGGCGGCGCCCGCGGAGCTGGCTGCCCTCGAGAACACCCGTCAGCTGCGAAGTGCTCGCTGTCCGCGTGCCTCCGCCGCGGCCGCAGGTTGACGGCCAACTGGCAGGCGCAGAGTCGCCGACAGACTGCGTTCATGGCCCAAGAGCGGCCGCGACTCTTGTCGAGACAACAGCAGGTAACCGTATCATCCAACAAATGCAAGCCTCGACGCCCACGAAGATGTCTACTGCGAGCACGCCGTCGGGCCCCATCCAGAGCGACGCGGGCCTCCTTCACGTCGATGTGCTCCTCAGGCCAGGCCCAGAGGCCACGCGTCGCCAGGGTCCAAGTCGAGCGGTCTGCCCAGACCTTGGAGACCAGAGGGATGGCAGCGGGCACCTCCACCTCTACGCCACGCCGGCGCCGCAGACGCGAATGCCGCGGCGCCTTGCCAGCGCAGGCCGCCAGGCCGGCCCGGCGGGCATAGGCAGCATCGGCGCCAGCCGCGCATCCAGTTGCCTGGCCCCGCACCTCTGGGTCCGCCAAGATCTGCTCGTCGGCGTCGTCGGAGTCGCCGCCATCCGAGTAGCCCCAGGCCCGCTTCCGAGCAAAACTGGTGGTCGCGAAGCGTCGCTCGGGCTCTGGCTCGGTCCCCATGAACCTCCATCTCTCGCGGTGCCGCTTTTCCTCCAGTATGGTGTCGCTGGCAGCTCGCCGATATAGAAATCCATATCCTTCCGTCGGGCAGCCCAAGACGCGCGCCGCATCTGAGAGCGGCATGGACAGGCGCGCGTAGGCAAAGAAAATCATGCTCTCCACGGCCCACAACTCACGCCTCAGCACGAAGTCGATCTGCGCGCGTCGCTCTCGTCGGACGCGCAGCCGATGGCGCCCTCCCGCAAGATGGCCGTCAGAGCCCGCCGCAACCCCATCATGTTGATCGCGTGCCCCAGCCAGACCTCCAAATCGCCGCTCCTCACCTTCTTGCGGCACCTCAGAGCTAGAATAGCCGCCCAGAACCGCCGCGACCTGTCTGGGGCATGCCTCAGCTCGAGACGCCCCTTCCCCAGCACCAGGCCTAGCGACTCCACGACCTTCCCAACCTCAGGCGGGCGCAACGAGAGGCCCTCGTGCTCGGCGACGCGCTTCACCTCCAGCAGACTCTTTGCAGCGCCAAGCGGCTCGGCGGCGACCACGGCCACGCCGCCCGCGCAGGCGCCCCCTGCCCCGCGCGAGCCCCGGCCCAACGGAAGCGCAGAGCGGCCCTTCATTACCGCCAGGCCCGCGCCCCTCAGGCAGCTCCCCGCGCCATCGTTGCAGAAGTGCAGCGCCCGCGTCCAGCCCGCGCGCATCGCCTCGAACGCCGCCTCCAGCACCTCGCCCGGGTCGACCTGGTCGCGGCGCTTCAGGTCGTCACCCCGGACGGTTCCCACCTGCCAGTCATTCGCTTTCACCCTGTGGCCGAGCCCGAACTGGCCCGCGACCTCCTTCACCGAGCACTGGGATAAGGCGCCCTTTGCGTCGATGGCGCCCGCTTCCAAGTCTACACTGCCAACGTCTGTCTCTCCGAAGCTCACCCCCGCAAGGTCGAGCTCCACTAGAGGATCCACCCCTCCTAGCTCGGCCCATGGGCGGCCGGCGATGGAGCGCGCGCGGGACTCGAGACACACGTCAATATGATGTTGCCGCCCTTCTCGCGCAACAAAAAAACAAGCCCGCGCGGGCCTTCGCCCGCCCCCTCGCCGAACAGCACCGAGCCTGGAACAGATCCTCCAGCAGGTGGCCACGAGCGCGTGCGTCGCGGCGCAGAGTGGGATCCCCGTACGCTGCGCTCAGCTCGCCCTCCGCGCGCAGACTCTCGATGTCCTCCGCGCCCCGCTCGATGCGTCTCTCACTGCGCCGTAAAACCTGGCCGACACTGGCGGTGGCGCCATCGCTGCGCCCTTCGGCTGCACGCCGCCCGTTAGGGCCCTCAGCTTCTCGAAGGCGTAGCTCGCCAAGTGTCGCGGTAACTCTCCGTCGAGTGACCTGGTCTCGAGCACTTGCCTAAGCGAGTCCTCAGTGTCCAAGTCCTTTGGCCTGCCCCCGCGCATCGCGATCGCCGCCGGGGCGTTGCCCCGGCAGTCGCGCCGCGCACGGCCGACGGGGCCAGAGCGGGCAGGTGCCCTCTTCGAATCGCCAGCGCGCGCGGCGGCGAGGTAGTTCGGCGCTCGGGTCGCCCCCAGAATTCGCCCTTGGGGCTCAAAACCTTCGCGAGGAAGGCGATTGGGATGCGAAACTGTGGATTCGGGAAGTGGGCGCGGATCTCCACGCTTGCCCCCCCCTGGCATACCACGACGAGGAGCGGCGCCATCGACGCCAGGCCCTGCAAGTAACGCGGCACCCTTCAACGCTCAGGAACACTGGGCCGCAGCCCCCAAGCTCCAAGCTCCACGAGGAGCCGAAGTAAGATCAATGAGAAGCCGCCCCGCCCTCGGGGCCACTGTTCTCGCCGTCCGTATTTCCTCCTCCTCGACCGCGCCCGCGGCCTTTCCCCTTCGCCTCGTCGCCTCTGTGGTCCTCGACCCTCCTCTTGTGCGTCTCCTCGCGGCGCGGCCTCTGCTGCCTGAGATTGTCTGCCCGCTCCTTCTGACGCTTCGAGATGTGCTCCCTGAGGACCGCGATGCGCGCCGCGTCCTTCACTGCGGTGGCTCCACCCTCGATCGTCTCTAAATCACTGTGGTCAAGATGCCGAGGGCCCCGCTCCACTGCCAGCTCTAAGCTCACCAATCGTCTCGCAGCGTTCCCCACGCACGCGAGGTTGGTGATGTCCAGCTGATCCGTCGACGTCGCGAGACGCAGCAGGTCGCACAGGGCCCTGTGCTCGCGGGCGTGGGATACCCCCTCATATACTCCGCTGAAGCGAATCCGCTCCGCACGATATGAAACAAAATTGCCGGCTCCATCCCGAACCTGCTCACCGAACTCAGCCGCAGCTCGAGGCCCGTCGAAACGCCACAACTTCTGCTCCTCGGGCCGCATAGCGTCCACAGCCGCACGCAGTTCCAGGACATCATCTGTCACGTGCCTAATACAGAACTCGACGATCGTTGGCTCCGATCGCCATCTCCTGCTTGAAAACCTCGACCTTGTCATGGTCGACCTGGATGACGAAGCGCTCCTCACCACCCAAACGCACAACCCCCTTCGAGCCCAGGACAACAAATCGCTCTTCGTCCTCAACCACCGCTTGGTCCACTATCTCCCCGAAACGTGCATCCGTCGGGCTGTAGATCACCCAGACCCGGCCATCATCTACGTCCACCACGTCGGCAACCAGGATGTGAGCCCGCTGGCGGGAATCCCTCTGGTAGTTCGCCAACCCCCAGCCGTCGACTGGGTCGAAAATGTAGCACTCCGCCGCGATGTCCGCGGGGAAAGGTTGACGACGCCCAACCACACGATGGCGCGCCACCATGAAATCGATCATCTGCATCTCGAAGTCGGGAGTCAAACAAATCCATCGTGACCCCTCGATCCGATGGAGCAACAACCTGTAATGCCAGTTGAATCCGTCGGCATCCCCTGGGTAGTGTACCAGGGTCTGTGTACTTACAGTCAAGAGCGCGCGCCCTGTCTGCAGCTCGGCGTCGCTGGGCCCGTCAGCGCCCTTGCCCCTGAGCTTGGCCCTAGCACGTGCACCGCCTCCGCCTCGCGGCCAGACAGCAGCGCTCTCACGACCCGAATCGCACTCTGCACGAACAGGCACGCCAGTGTCCCGAGCAACGCTCCCAGCGAGAACACCACGCCGTGCCTTCACCAGGGCGACACGCACTCAGTCTGCCTGCCCGCTTCCCCGCCTCCAAGCGTGCCCGGTGATAGACACGCAAGGCACGCAGGCCAAGGCGACGCCGCCGCACAAAAGAGGCTATGGACAGGACAGGCCGGGATCGCTGGGCAGGCTGGCTGTTGGGGGCAGCGGGCGAGACAGGCCAGAACTCCGTTCGCAGCAAAATCGAGGCCCCTCTGCCGCATTCCTTGAGCCAAAAACTACAGACGACGGTGCTTTCCTATCGTATCAGAGCGACTCAACAGCAAGCTAGAATCATCCTCCTCCTCCGCCTCCTCCTCCTCCTCGTCATCCCTCTTTTCGTCCTCCATCCATCCTATCCTCCTCCTCCTCCTCCTCCTCCTCCTCCTCCTCCTCCTCCTCCTCCTCCTCCTCCTCATGTCGTCCTCACCCCTCACCCTCCTCCGTTTCAGCCCGCCTCCACCTGGGAAGGAGACAAGGGCGAGGATCGAGTTGGATCTGCATCGCTGTCCCCACCCAGGGGACGGCGTGATGAGACCATCGCAGCCGAGCGGCTACCGGACCTCATCGCATGAATCAAGCGGACCCTGAACGAAACTGGACCTGGACCCTGGAGTTTTTCCAGGGACCAGCTTTTCATCCTGAAGCGTCCTTGCTGTCCCAGGGGCTCGGGGAAAGCCCCAGGAGCCAGACGACTGCTAAAACCTCAGAGCCGTTTCCCCCTCAGGACCACTCTCCCTCATTGCGAACCCCAGCAGCAAAAAGGAAAACGAGAGGAAGAGGAGAAGGACCACGTGCTGTACTCACTGAAGTCAAGCGCAACCTACCCTCAGTAGGAGGAGGAGGAGGAGGAGGAGGAGGAGGAGAAGGAGGAGGAGGAGGAGGCGCATATGGGGGAGCAGGAGGAGAATAGGAAGAGGAGGAGGAGGAGGAGGAAGTGGAGAAGATGGGGTAAAGACCGACGTCACCTGGCTATCGGAGCACAAGCCCGTTCTCTAAATCCAGGAACTGCTGCAAGGCTATAGGGGGGGAGCAAGAAATCACCCGACAATTGGAGCGCAAGACCGTTTCCCAAACCCAAGACCTGTTGCAGGCACTCCATCGCCACATTCAAGCTCCACTTGGCAGCATCAAGAGTATGGAAGAGTCCACGAGGAGGAGCGATCCCCACGCGCACCCGTGCAGCTGCATCGGGGACCTCGCAGGAGTAAAAGGAGAGCTCTAAGGGCCTCCAGCACGGAGGAAGAGAGGTCCAGAGCGGCGGAGCGAACACACCTCCAGAACGGAGGCCCTGGCACGCCCGAAATGGGTACGACAAACAGCCACGACGCCCAACAGCGAATGCCGTCCAAAACCGACAGCGGCCGCTGGTGGGCAGGCGACGTTTGTCGCACTTGACCGCGTCCGCGGCGACAACGACAGCGAACCCTGTTCAGAAGGGGCAGGATTGACTGCCAGCCCTTTCCGCCCTTCGTTACGCCCGCAGCGACGAGGGCAGCCCGTCTGAGAAGGCACCCCTCATACGGTGCGGTGCGCGGGCGTCGTGCTGCATATTCGGGGGACTCTGTATGTTCCATCGCGCCGCCATCCGCATCGAACTCGCGTCGGGTCCACGTCGAGCGCGTCGACTCCGCGACGAATCCGCGTCGCGCACCAGAGAAGGCCACTCACAGGACGGGCAAAGCCCCCCGAAGGTGCAACGCAGTGGGCGGCGCGCGTGGTCTTCAAGGGGGCGGCCCCTTTCGACAAGGGCCCCCCTGCTTTCCTCAGGATTTCTGCTTGTAAGTCAGATTCCACCGCCCAGGGCCACGTTGGGCATACAGAACCACGCCCCTGGAATGTAATGTTGTAGACCAAACCCACGACCAGGACCCTCGCCGACTCCCACAGGCTTTTGGGTCACCCGCATGCCCGCCCTCCTCGCCAGGCCCGGGCGGCCCGCCCCTGAAAAACCGCCCGCGCGCCGCGGTTCCAGGGGAGGCGACGTGCCTGGCATGAAGGAACGCGCCGGCGGTAACGTCAGCTCCGGACGCAGCTGGCGCTAAAATTAGAAGCTGGTGGCGATAGAGGACGCATGGGTCGACGAGCAGAGCAGCCGGGACGCGGCAGCTAATTGCGCACCGCTGCGGTCGGAAAAGGAGAACGACAGCGGAGAAGGACAAATCAGGGAGCCACCTTTTTTCCTGCTGCACGCAACAGTGGCCCTCGGCAGAGGTGACCGTTGGTGCGCGGCTTGCTGACGATTGCATGCGATGAGACAGCAACAGCCTGTGTGCCCGGGCTGCTCAGGTTTGATCTCCCCCGTTCTTCCCGAGGCCGCGAGCCGCGCGCCAGAGGCCAATCCGCCAAAAAGCCTCTCCCGCATAGCTGGTTTTTGACGGCCCCAGGGTCCGGGAAGGGCTGGGACCCTTTTCCCTCCAGTACCTCTTTTCTACTACCAGCCGGCTAAACAGCTCCAACCTGGCTGCTGATGCCTGGATTGACCGAGTGTTGCTGGCTGCTGGCCGAAAGTTCCCCCTCTCCTACCCTCAAAAATCGCCCTCAGACCTGTCCTGAGGGCGCGTTTGAACAAGACTCTCGAGGGGAATCCTGGCCGTGGCGACGGCAAGCTTCCTGGCGGACCACGAAGAAATAGAAGTGTCCAATGCCCTTTTTCAAGGCGACGTCTGCGCGACGCCAGCTCAAGGCAGACCGCGTGCGGGTGCCTGGGCAGGGCTTCTCAGACGCCGAGAGGGGGATGAGAACATCAGGAGGAGGCAGAGGGGGAGGGGAAGCATATGGGGGGGGAAGAGTAGTAGGATAATGCGGCGGAGAGGGAGGAGGGGGGAATCGAATATAATGGAGTGGGATGGATGGAAGGAGGGGGAGGGAAGGGAAGGGGGAGGGGAAGGGGGAGCAGGGGGAGGGGGAGTGGGAGGGGAAGTGGGAGGGGGAGGAGGCGGAGGAGGACCAGTGCAAACCCAAGACTTCTCAACGATATTGCAATGCATCCTCCCTCCAAGTTCCTCACTATGAGCCCATGCACGGATTCATTGTCCTTGCGGGAAGTGCCCTGTTTAAAGACAACTGTCTGAAAAAAAACAGAGCAATGCCAGAACATCATTCCTGGGACATCAGCGCCGCGAATCACCGTTACTATTGCGTCTTGACAGATCTGATTCGTGCCAGAACACAATTTCTGGGACTTCACCACCGCGGATCAACGCGACTGTTGCGCCCTGACGTCCTGAAATCGTGCCAAAACACCACCTCTGGGACGTTAGGCATGAGAATCCTTGGAACTGCTGCGAATGTTTAAAACGAAGAGGTATCGCAAAAGCTAAGGCCACATTCTGAAAACAGGCCGCCCTCCATCCGTGAAGCCCTGGCAAACTTTTAAGACGAATGAGAGCGGCGCGAAGGAGCGAGAGCCGCATTTTGACAACGGGCCGCCATCCATACGTGGAAATATCGAATATTGCGAGCTTCAAGATCACGAATGGTGAGGAATCTCAAGCGAGACGCCCAGCCCGCCCTTTCGACCGGCCTCGGGGTGCGACAGAGAGGGGTCACTTATGAGGAGAAGGAATGGAGGAGGAGGAGGAGGAAGAGGAGGAGGAATAGGAGGAGGAGGAGGAGGAGGAGGAGGAGGAGGAGGAGGAGGGCACAGCGTCATCAGGAGGAGGAGGAGGAGGAGGAGGAGCGAGCGGAGGAGGAGGAGGAGGAGGAGGAAGAGGAGGAGGAGGAGGAGGAGGAGGAGGAGGCACAGCGTCATCAAGAATGGAGGAGGAGGAGGAATAGGAGGAGCAGGAGGAGGAGGAGGAGGATGCACAGCGTCATCAAGAGTGGAGGAGGAGGAGGAGGAGGAGGAGAAGGAGGAGGAGGGCCTGCCCTCCGAGAAGCCGCCGTCCCTGCCCTCACGGAAGGCCGCCCTCCTCGCGCACACACACACACCGAACATACCGATCACACCAAACGCACCGAACAAAGCCACACGCGCAGGCACACACACACACACACACCGAACAAACACACACACACACACACACCGAACACACACCGAACACACACACACACACACACACACACACCGAAACACAGACACACACACACACACACACACACACACACACACACACACACCTCTGCGCGCCGCCGAAGGGCGGGCCGCCCTCCTGCTCCTCGGTGAAGCGGCCCAGCCGGCGCAGGTGTGCGAGGAGCTCGCCGCCACCTCGCAGGGCGCCAGCGACGTCGGCGATAGCGTGGCCGTCGCGCTCACCAAACACCAGTTGCTTTTCGCACGGGGTTGTAAGAAAGACCCAAGATCGTCCCAAGACGGCCCAGCCCCAAAAGGTCTATAGAGACGTCACCGCGAGAAGACATTTTGAGTTCGTCGCCCCAGGATATCTCCGGGAAGCTTCGGGGCACCCAAGAGGCCTCCAACACGCCCTAAGAGGCCTCCAGGATGCCGAAGAGGCCCGCAGGAAGCCGCCCAGGAGGCCCCCAAGAGGCCCCCAACAGGTTTTCCAGAAAGCCTCCAAGAGACCTCATATGGCCGCCCCAGGAAGCCCCGAAGAGGTTCCAGGACACTCCCCCAAAAGGCCCAAGCAAGCCTCGAATACACGTCCCAACAGACCGCGAAGATCCGCCACTATGCCCTGGGCACGAGTTGGAGTGCCCCCAGGCCCCTTGGAGTTATCCGTCCTCAGCCCTGGGTGGAACAAATTGAAAAGGTCTGGACCCAAATTCTATTTTTTCCGGGGCTTGTCGCGGCTCTCCGGGGACTTGGCGCATGTCCCCGCGTGATTTGTTCGGAGCCGAGAAGGCCCAGAAGCTAGCAAGACTGCCCCTAAGACGCCCCCAAGACAGTCCAAAAGGGTCCCGAGTCGTGGAAAGATCGCTCCCAGACGCCGAGGGTAGCCACCAGGCGGCCCAGGACGCCTCCACAATGCCCCAAGACTGCTCCAAGAACACTTCCGAAAAGAGGATGAGAGGCCACAGTCACAGACACATGTGCATTTGACGCTAAGCCAAGGTTCCCGACCGTACCCTCCCTCCACACAGGAGGCCTGCGAGTCCGTCCGTAGATACTTGGCCTGGAAGGAAGGAGGAGGAGGAGGAGGAGGAGGAGGAGGAGGAGGAGGAGGAGGAGGAGGAGGAGGAGGTGGAAGAAGAGGCCCCTGCGGGGCTCGGCCGCCTCACCCTCCGTGGATGGGGCCCGGGGCGGCCCTCCGTCCTCCTCCTCCGCTCGTCCTCCGACGCGGGCTGCGCGCCCCGCCCCCCCGAAGGGCCCGCCGAAGAAGTCGGTGACGAGGTAGAGCCGCGAGGGCGACTGAAAGGCGTACCTGGGCAGCGCGCCGCTCGGGGCCCCCACGGGGCCCTCCGAGGGGGGGGGGCGCGGGGACCGTCAGGAGGAGGAGGAGGAGGAGGAGGAGGAGGAGGAGGAGGAGGAGGAGGAGGAGGAGGAGGAGGAGGAGGAGGAGGAGGAGGAGGAGGAGGAGGAGGAGGAGAAGGAGGAGGAGGAGGAGGAGGAGGAGGAGGAGGCAGCTCTCCGCTCTCCGCGGCCCCTGGCTCGAGCGCTGACTGCTCGGGGCTCTGACCCTCCTCCGCGGGCACGCCCGTGGCTTCCCCCTGCCCCTGCCCCGCTGCGCACGGCTGGGCACTCGCCGCACGCATGCCCCCAGCTGATCTGGCCCGCGCTGCCCTGCCGCCCCCCCCCCCCCCTCCGCCCCCTACAGTTAGGTGAATAATTTGGTTGTGAAAATTCGGACCCGGTGGAGCATGGGTTAGTGGTAGTCGGGGCGCTGGAACCGACGCCGTGGGGCGCTGGAACCACCGTCCCTCGGAAAAATTGGGCGCTGGAACCCATCTGTCTTCAAGGCATGAGGAGCTGGAACCACCATCCAAAATTGGGAGCTGAACCACACCCGTGGGGCGCTGGAAGCACCGCCCCTCGTAAAAATTGGGCGCTGGAGCCCATCTGCCTTCAAGGCATGAGGCGCTGGAACCACCATCCCTCGTAAAAATCGGGCGCTGGGACCACACCCCGTTTAGGGTTACAAAACATATTAAGAGGGTGGGGGGAAGGGGGGATGGGCCCAGGAGCGGGAGTCGTAGCAGTGTAGTCACGATCTGCCCCCAACTGGGGGCACCGTCGTCGGTCGGTCAGTCGGTCGTTCTGGTCGTCGGTCGTCGTCGGTCGGTCGGTCGGGCGGGCGGTCGGTCGGTCGGTCGTCGGTCGGTCGGTCGCTCTGGTCGTCGGTCGTCGGTCGGTCGGTCGGTCGGTCGGTCGGTCGGTCACCGTCGTCGCTCGTCGTCGGTCACCGTCGTCGTCTCGGCCGGCCGGTCGGTCGATCGGAAAGTCCGTCCAGGCATCGTCATCGGCCCGCCGTTCGGTCTGTCCGTCGGTCGTCGTGACGACGACCGACGACGACCGACGACGGTCCCGACCGACCGACCGACCGACCGAACGACGACCGACCGACCGACCGACCGACCGACCGACCGACCGACCAACCGACGACGACGACGACGACGACGACGACGACGACGACGACGACGATAGACGATAGACGACGACGACGACGACGACGTCGTCGCTCCCTGACGCCTCCGATGCGTGCATATGCGCACTGAAATTTTACTACCAACAGTATTCACCTGACTGCAGAATCGGTCAGCATCGGATCGGGAAATCGGACCGAGTCGGGACGTGCGTCAGATCGGGCCGCATCGGCACAGAGTCGGAGTCCAATCGAATCGGCCGCAACAATTTGCACAGCAGCGCCATCCAAACAACATCGGGTCGCATCGGATGGTCGGAACAAAGGAATCGAATCGGATCGGGCTCGCCAAAATCAATATCGAATCGGTTCGGATCGGATCGACACGGGCCCCTACGGTAAGACCGAGCGGCAAAGACCTCGGCGCTGGCTTCTGGCGCCGCGTGGATGGTTCAACCTTGAACGACCGCGGCTCTCCGATACTGCAAATTGCTGGATGTCGGCTGGCTCCGGGCCACTGGCGGCATTCAGCCTCGACGGGCTGCGCAAGGGTCGCCGCCGCGTCGGCACGACGCGGACCTGCCGTACGCCCATCCCCCCCCTCTTGCGCTGCCTCAAGCGGCACGCCGCGGGATGTGCCGCGACGCTGCTCGACAGCGACCGGCTCGTGCCGGCAAGAGGCCGTGCTCGCCAGGAGCACGATCCCCCTCCCCCTCTTGCGTTTCTCGGGGCTAGATCTCGAACGCGGCCGGCTCTCGGGTCGGCCGCGATGCCCTGGCGCCGCGGCGCCCGCCTCCCCAGGCGCGCCAAGGACGAGCCGTGCAAGCGCGATCCCCCCTCGCACAAGTGGCCGGCTCCCCTGCGCTGCGCTGCGCTGCGCTGCGTTGCGCCCCGCTCTCGCCACGCCTCTACTCCCTGTCCGATGCGTTACCGCCGCGCTTCTCCCGCGGCCCTTTGCGCGCCGCCTCCCCTCCTCGCCCTCCTCACCAACCTCAAAAAGCAGATGGACTCAGATCGCGTTGACGCGTGGACCACAAACGGTTTTCACAGTGTTGATTTCGCTTCGCTGGCGCCGCACACCATCGCAGCACACGACCAAAGAGCAGGTAGAGGGCGGATTGCTTTCAGAAGGAGCGTTCGTGCTCGCCCCGTGCACAATCGGCTCCTTTCTTTTATAAAAAAGGGGCCTCGGGGCCTCTGGGTTTTCTTTTTGCAAGGTGGTCGACGCCTTAGCCGAGCAGTGCAATCGCCGCCATGGCAAGGGGACGGCAACCCAACAGTTGGTAGCTCCCAACTGCCGCGCGGAGTGCCAGGCGCCCGCGGCGGCAGCGCTTCCAACCTCGGTGCCGCCACCCTCGCCACGCGACGAGACAGTGAGACGCCCGCCTCGCTCCAGGCTTCCGCCAAGTGCGCGCGCCTCCGAGCGGTGACCCGAAGTCGGGCTTCAAAGACAAGTGACGGGGCTGGGGAGCGCCCAAGGCGGCGCGCGTTCAACGCGCAGAGAGAGGCCTCCATGCACGCAGCGCGCTTGAGGGTGGCTAAAAAATTAACAAGAGCAAGAAGGAGACAGGAGGGGAACCAATGAAAAGTGGCCTCACTCTGGTGAACTTCAAAAGTCCGTCCCGTCCATTTCCGAAGTAGGGTGTCGAGGTGGGGGAAGTCGTAGTAGTGGCGCAGAGAGTCCGCGTCCGCGCCCTGGGCGCTAGCACATCCGAACAGGCACCCGCGCGGCTTGGAATGGAAGCGAGCACTCGTGCAAATAGAGCCCGTGAGAAGACGAAGCGGGGCAGAGCAAACTTACATGCTGGAGGCAGCGCATACACGTTTGATGTTCACGCACATCATGTCAATGTGTTAGCTGTCGATGTCGGGGCAGGAATGGTGCGCGCGCCTCAGGGGGACATTGCGAACGGGCTCCGAGGTTTCACACAGGCGAAACTGGGCATAGAGCTTGTGCTGCAGTTTCGAATCGGCGGGGGTGAGGCTCAACGAGAGCCCGCGGTGCTAGTCCCGCAGGGCCCGAAGATATCCCAGAAAACTGTGTTCGTGCCAACCACGGTGCCACCGATGCGGTACGTGCTCGAACGCGATCTAGATCCTCTAGGATACCGCGAAGCCCTCCAGAACGTAAAAGGTAACGCACGGCCGTTGCTTTAGCAACAGCTTCCAGCTCCACAAATTCGATGGCGAGTCAAACTTGCTTCAGCTTCGTGGCGACGCGGTAAGAAATCGCATTTCTCGGTCCCGAAGTGAGAAGAAGCACGCTTTCCGTGAAAGCTTTCTTCAGGCCAGCGCTCGGTGGGTACAGATGTAATCGAAAGAGCAGCTTGCTAACGCATGTGACCCTGAACGCGGGCGCCGACTGCGCCACGCCGAAGCCCAGCAGCCTCGCCCGGTGCACCCTTGCAGAGGAAACTTGGGACGATGGAGGCCCAAGCCGCGGGGGCCGCTTCAGGGCCGATGGGGAGGCCAAGGTACGCGGCACCCAGAGTAACTCGGATGTGCTGGGAGGGGGCACCATGCGACTCCAACAGGGTAGACGGACTACTAGTATCGAGGCAGCCGCAGACAACCAACTGGCACTTCTTATAGTTAAGCATGAGATTCGCAATGACCTCAAGCTCCGAGAGCACGTCAAGCAGCTCGCGGAGGCCGGGCGCGATCTTCAAAACTCCAAAGCCGAAGTCGTCAGCATAGGCATGAGTGGGACCCAGCTCTGCAGCGCGTTTATGTTTAATCCAGGCAAGCATAGGGTTGACAACGAACACAAACAAAAGCATAGATGTAGGGCAGCCCTGCTTCACCCCAGAACGAACCGAAATGCTCCCATGCCGCTGCCCCCCCAGCGGTGATGATGGTGGCATTAGCAGCATGCATCATCGCAAAGAACTGTACGATGTGACTAGATATTCCACTAGCACGTAGAACATGGAATAACCAACTCCGCGCTAAACTCGGGAACGCAGACGCGAAGTCAGTGAACAACAAAGCAGCTTCAGACTCGTCTTTCATCTAGCGCTCCAATCCCCAAGCCTCCGCCCGAACCACGTTCTCCACCGCGTCCCTCCCACTCGCACATTTCTGCTCTTCCACGATCAAATCCGAGGTATTCGCAGCAACTGGCAGAATGCAGGCGGCCGAGAGCAATTTCGCATCAGTGTTGCCGAGGCTAAGAGGCCTCGTCGCTGGGGCTAACCGCGCGAGCGGGTGGCCAGGGATATCATCACCCCGAACCCCCTTCAGCAGAAAAGCTAGAAGGCTGCAGAGCACGTCGTCGGGAAGCGAGGAGATAGCATCATCGAAGAGGGCGAGGTAACAGGAGTAGAGTAACCATGAGGCGCAGGGCTGCTTCCTAACTGCGCAACGAATGCCGTCGGGGCCGGGGGTGCTGCGGGCGCGCCCTAAGACAAGCTCGTGCCAGCGAGAGTGGGAGGGGGGCGCCGCTCGCGATGGGGTTCACGAGTAGCTCGGATGCGATCGGCAATTTTGTTCCACTTCGAGGCGTCGACCGAGGGGGCCGAGAAAACCAGCGCCCAGCGCTGCCCAAGGATGTTGGCGGCTTCGGAGGAGGATGAAGACGCATCGCCCCCAGGGGTAACCACGGCGCCCATGACCGTGCGCCTACGAAACTTTTGCCGGAGCTGTTTCCGTCGTCGGAGCCTAGCGTGCATAGATCGTTTCGTCGCATCGTCATGTCTAAATCCTTTGCCACCCTCCTCCTCCTCGTCGAGAATCGGGCGAAAGATGCAGAAGACGTGCTGAGAGAGGCCAGAAATGCGACGACAGCGTCCGCGCCCATCAAAAATGGGCCTGCAGACGCGGGTGGCACCGAAGAGAAAGGCGGACTCCATCCATATCGCCACGCAACACAAAGCGATGAGCATGTAAAGTTCCGCGGCGTTTCTCTTGTCGGGCGACCGCCGGCCTGAGTCGAAGCGCCTTCCTCGCAACTTTGCCAGCGTCGAAGACCATGGACTTCGCTGTCTCAAGCTGTGCCCACGCATCCCACTCATCAAGGATTCCCTTGATCATCTCTTTCAAGGCCTGTCCAACTCCCCAGCGGCCCGGGGGGGCAGGCGGGGGTGCTCGCGGTCGGGCGTGTAGACGGCCACTACACATAGACGATCTTAAGTACCCCATCGTAGAGAACGAAATAGTGTAATCGCGGATCAGTGCAACAGGCAACGTGGTGTAGATGCGGTCTAACCGAGACGCATTCGAGACAGTCTTCCCCTTCTTCCCCCTTCGCGCATCCTGGTTCTGGGAAAGTTCGGTCACGCGCGGAAGCAGGTGGCGAAAACAGCGAGAGTGGCCAACGTCGCCTGCAGACATCCCGCCCCCGTCCCCAGCAAGCCCCCCTTCCTCCTCTAAGACAAAATTCCAATCGCCCATGAAAAGCACATGCGCTGCAAATTCAGCACCGCCCTCCTGATGACGGAGGTGGTCACGCTGAAGCACAGAGAGCACACCAGCAAAAAGCCAGAGAGAGAGAGAGAGAGTCGGATGTATTAGGCAGGTGATGACTGTAGACAATCAACAAATTCCCACGTTCCCCAATGAGCATACTCTTGAGGACCCTCCCAGTGATCGAGACCGCATGCGTGATGCTAGAAGGAAGAGAGACGAATGATGGAGCAAACGCAGCGACGGCACCTCCTTCCCGCGCTGAGGCCGCGAAGAAGGAATGCCCGAAGATGAATCCAGGCAGTTGGTGCTGTAAATATGTTGTATATCCTTCATGTCCGTGTGTTTCCTGTACAGCAAGTATGCCACGCTGGTTGCATAAGGATCGGTACTTATGATAACGATCACGAGCTCACCACGAGTCCGTCTCTGCCGAGGCGAAGAGCGCATCCGCGCTACAGGTGCAGAGGGAGAAGGAGGAGGGGGGAGGACAAGAGAACAGAGGGAGGGGGAGGGCACCTGAGATGGAGAACCGCCTTCCTCAGCGCGGAAAGGGGCGGCGGAGCGAGACTGCCCCACCCTGCTCAATTGCCGAGATGTGATATTGAATGCCGAACTCACGGAAAACATCGTTGTCACAACAAATATCGATGCTCTGCTCCCTTGACGCGATAACTGCGGGTACGGGTTCGTGAGCACGACGCATCAGAAAAACTAAACCTCCAAGACCAGTGCTCTCTACCTCGATCGTTCCCTTTGGGGGCCAGGATCTCGCTGAGGCGGGCTCTGATCCTTCCGAGCGAAAGAAAAACATGACGGGCGTTTTTTTGTCGATGCCTCTCCTGAGGCGCAGCGCAAGCGGGGGGGGCCCAGGGAGACGGTCGGGGGCGGCCCAGGCGCCGCCAGTCATGAAATGATCTAAAAGGGTGCTGGCAGAGAGAGCTGTCTCGAACAGCAGCGTGACCTTTTGGAAAAGTCAAAGCCGCGAGCAAGAATCCGAGATTGTTCGGCGGTGGGTGCGAACGCTTTGATACAGGCAGAGCCGATCTCACGAAGGTCTCGTGCCAGGAGCGGGCGCGGGAAATCTAAAAGAACTAACTTACAGGTATCATTCTGATTCTTGTCTGCGGAGTCACGGCGCGAGCCTTTGCTGATGGTGGGAGAGCCAGCGCTCGAAGCCGACGAGGGTGGCGTAGCTGGGGACAACATTTCGCAGATCTTGGTCTCTGCTATCTTCTGACGGTCGGCGAGGTCCTTCAGCTGGCGCTCGATGTCATCACACTTTGTGGAGAGCTCTGGGACGTCCACCGACATCGCCGAGGAAGGGTTCTGGATGTGGGACTGCAACTGGTCGATCTTCAGATCCTGGGCGCGGAGGGCATGAGCGAACTGGTTCTGTAGTTCGTCGTGTTTCCGCTTCACATCTCGACCAAGCAGCACAATTTGGTCTGATAATTGGGCACACCGTGACATGCTGGAGTTCACAAACGTCCCACACTCGGCTTCCCTCTTGTCCTTCGCTGCGCGAGCAGATGGCGAGTCTTTTCAAAAACGGTGGGGGCATCGGACAAAGAACCCTCAGAGGAGGAACCCAGGGCCTGGAAGCCAGCGGCACTCCAGCCGGGGATCGGCCATGCACATCACCGCCGCCCTCATCAGATGAGGAGGCATCCATGGTCTGCAGCCTCCCGGGCACATTCTTCAACGAACGCCCCCACCGTGCTGGGGTCTCCCCCAGGCGACCACCATCTACACTCAAGTGACCCTTCCTCGACCTCTACGACCTGGCGTTCCATGCAGTCAACCCGCACAGGAAGGATGGGCAACCTTTCCAAGGCTACCCTGGCATTTTTGCCTCCTCGGTCCATCCTTGGCCACTTTCGTTAGCCGCGCCCCGCTCGAGAAGTGTCGACATGGGCTGTCAAGGCCCTTGCATCCTTACCGCGCATCCTTACTGTACGGTTTGACCGTACCGTGCAACAGCCAAGACGGATGGAAGGCGGGCTCTCGCGCGAGACTTCCGCGGGGCATGCGTCCACGACTTCTGCGGGGCGTACGTTCACGACTCTGACACCCTGCAACGTTCGCTTAGGCGGATGGAGGGCATGTACTTCTCAAAATGAATCCCTGGGCCTCCTTGAAGGGCTCTCGCGTGGGACTTCGGCGGAGCACACGTCTACGACTTTGCCATCCTGCAGCGTTTGGACGGATGGAGGGACCCTGGGCGTCCTTCAAGTGGAGGGAGGATCCTTTACAACAGGCGCCCTCGTCTGACTGGCGGACAGACCGGCCGCTCGTCATTCAAGGAGGGGCGCTCGCAGTGGAATGGAAGACTTGTATGGCCTTGTGAGGAGGCTACTTGGGACGGGAGGGTGTAGCGCAGCACCGCCCTTGCGTCCTCATCCTTCTCTTCCTCCTCCTCCTCCTCCTCTCGTCCTCAATCCTTTCGTCCTCCCCCTTCCTTTCCTCCTCATCCTGCCCCTCCTCCTCCTCCTCCTCGTCTTTCTCCTCCTCCTCCTCTTCCTCCTCCTGCGACTTTCTCCTCCTCCTCCTCCTCCTCCACCTCCTCCTCCTCCTCCTCCCTCTCCCCGCTCCTCCTGATCCTCCTCGTTCTCCTCCTCCTCCTCCTCCGCCTCCTCTCCGCTGCCGAGCAGCAGGCCCACGGCGGGTCGCCCAGGGTGCCTGAGCTTCGCGATGAAGGGGTGGTTGGCAGACCTCGCCCCGCGCGAGAAGGCGGATAAGGTCATGGGCGGGACACGTATATGTACCTCTTTATATATATAGAGAGAGAGAGAGATCGGATACACTAGAACCATCGCGCGCTTCGTGCGCGCTCAAGTTCTAACTAGGCTGGATGGTCGAAGTCTTGAGGATCTCTATTTTCTGATACTTCTTCTCCGGAGCTTCCAAGAACCATGAAGACGGCCCAAGTGGCTTCCAAAACTTCCTACGGTCCACCCACGGCGGCCTCAGCCGGAGGAAGAGGGAGGAGAAGGGGAGGTGAAGGGGTTCCCCGGCGGAGAAAGAGGATGATGAGGAGGAGTTGGAGAAGGTGGATGAGGCCGCAAAGGAGGAGGAAGAGGAGGAAACAAATGTGCTATTTTCCGCTTTTTGCAAGCGTAGCCACGCTGCCAGGCGAATTCGAAGATAAGGGAATATTGCAATCCTCGTGTTTTCAAGTGCCCTCGGGGCCTCTTTTGGGACTCTTTTGGGCCTCTTTGGGGCTTCTTTGGGGCCTCTTAAGGCCTCCTGGGGGCCTCCTGGGGGCCTCCTGGAGCGAAGATCTCGGGTTCTTGGTTTCCGATCGCCATGCGATGCTGTGCTGTGCGAAGCTATTGCATGTGATGCCATACGGCCCAGGCCATACGATGCAGTGGAGTACCATGTATTGCTACGCCGTGGCATGACCTGGCATGACCATATGCAGTGACTCGAAGTGCTACGCTATCATGTGTTGTGATGAGCCATGCCATGACGTGTGATGTTGTGCTACGCTACGCTACGTAGTGTACTGCTTCGATAGTGCTGTCGTATGATGTGTTGTGCCACGCTACGTCACGCTTTACATCACATGTTTTGTACGGGACTGCATTACAAAATACTGCATGTCTACCCTTCCTTTACGCGTTCTGGAAAAACATATACCCACACGTAGCTGTGATCGTGCATCCTTCCGAGCCTTTGAATGTCTTGGGGAGCATCCTGGAGAGAATGGGCGGGGGGGGCCCGAATTCGCCGGCCCAACGGGCCAGAGGCGTGCTAAGATCTCCGGTAACTGCTAAATAATACTTCTACTTCGCGCGCGCGGGGCGGCCCCTGGGGGTCCCCGGACGAAAAGTACCCCGGGCGATCCCCGGCAGACTCGGGTCAGAGATGGTTTTCCTCCTGGGCGCCGCCCCCGTGGCCCTCCAGAGAGCCCCAAGAAGGGCCACGAGGCCGCCAAGAGCCCTCCAAGATGGTTCAAGAGTGCTCCGAGATGCCACACGATCGTTCCAAGACGCCCAAGATGGCCCCCAGACGCCCCAAGAGGCCTCCAAGAGCACTCCCCAGAGGGCCCCAAGAGGCAAAATTCATTACTTTTCCTTAGGTTTTGGGCAGATTTTGGCGTGTCCATCTTTTCGGCTTCCCGACGCCCCAAGACGGCCCAAGAGGCCCCCAAGATCGCCCCAAGAGGGCCCAAGAAGCTCCCAAGAAGGCCCCAAGATGGCCCAAGAGGGCTCCAAGACGGCCCCAGAGGCATCTAAGACGGCCCAAGAGGGGCCCAAGAGGGCCCCAAGCGATGCCCCAAAGGGGGAACACAAAACAAAACTTCGAGCCATCGGCCTTAAGAAGCCCCCAGGAGGCCCCAAGAGGCCCCTGAGAGGCCCCAAAAGCCCCCAAGAGGCCCTCAGGAGGCCCCCAAGCGACGCTGAAGAGGCCCCCCAGCGGCCCCAAGAGGCTCAGTCGTGCGAAATGGGCCGGCGGAATGAGCGAAGCGATTCAATAACTGATGCCCGAAGACAGAGAGGACGAGCCCGATGATATTCCGCGACTCTGGCCGTCCATGGCGCCCGACTCGACGGGGCTCGCCTCCTAGCGCCACCGCCTCAGGCGCATCTTGTTGGTCTTCTTGTAGTGGCCCTTGTACGACGGGCGCAGCTTGCTGGCGCGCTTTCCCTTCTTGAGCAGGCCGCGGGCCTTGCGGCCCGCCGCGGTCAGTCCGCGCAGCTCGCGGTGCTTCATCACGGCCTTGCAGATCCAGTTGAGGCGGGGGTCGTCGCGCACGCACTTGTGCATGGGGTCGACCATGACGACCTCGAACCACTTGTACGTGGAGTCCTGCGCGACCCAGTAGGAGTTCAGCACCCGCAGGCTCGAGAGCTTGCGGCCCGCCCGTTCCTCGGCGATGCTGCGCAGGTTGCGCACCGTCTTCCAGTGCTTGACGCCCTGGTTCGTCGGCTTGCCGTAGACGATGCCCTTCGCCACGCGCTTCTTGCGGTCCCCGCGCTTGACCCTGACCCGGTACACGAGCACGCCCTGCTTCGCCTTGTAGCCCAACCTGCGAGCCTTGTCCGGGCGGCTCGGCCGCGAGCAGCGGTGCAGGGCGGGGAGCTGGCGGAACTCCCACGTCCTCAGGCGCGCCAGGAAGCGCATGACATCCGACTGCTTCTTGCGCCAGAGCTCCTCGAGGTACTTGTATGCGCCCATGATGGTCCAGGCGCCCCTACGGCACGCGCCGCGCAACCGAAACTTTCTGGCTCGCCAAACCCCCGCGGCCCCTGGGAGATCCTGGGACAGAATGGCTGCGGAGAGGAGCCCGCGCAGGCAGCCACGGAACCCGTGGGCGGCGGCCAGAACGAGGCCACACGGATCTGCCTGGCGCAGAGGCGTGGCTCGAGCGATTGGGCCAGGCTGGGTCGCACCGGGCCCGAGGCCGTCCTGCTGCACGTGCTCCGCTGCTCTGCTCTGCTCCTCCTGCCTCGCGGGCCACCTGGGCGGCGCTCACGCACCGATCCGGCTCGAGATATGCCGCGTGACGACGCTGACGGGGAGAGGCTGGCTGGGTCGCACCGGGCCCGAGGCCGTCCTGCTGCACGTGCTCCACTGCTGTGCTCTGCTGCTCCTGCCTCGCGGGCTTACACATGTGTACAATTCCTCCTCGCTGCAACACCAGATTGGTCGGTGAGGCAGGACGGGAGCTTCGTTTGGGACTTCCACAGAACATGTGGACCGAAAGCTCGAAAATCCCAAGAGCTATGCGGATGGAGAGTGGGTAGAGTCAAAACTGTTCAAAACTGCTGAACAGCCTTAGGTCCTCGAAACGTAGTCGTTCCAAAAATATGCGCCAGCTAAGCGATTGGAGAGCGGGTGGTTTTCCACATGTGATTATCGCCTTAGGTAGCCGCGGTCGCTCGTCTTTCACGTTTCCATCAATCACATGGATGGATAGAAGGCCGTATCCGCAATGCTCGCCTGAGCGTCGCGCATGTGCATCTGAAAAAACTCCGACAGCTAAGCGGCTTGAGGTAGGCTGATTCTCAAAAGGTGGCTGTCGCCCTAGAACGGCGCCATGCGCGTTCGTCTAAAACAAACCCAGCATTTGCAAGCATGGAGGGAGTGCGGCTTTCAAAATACAACTCTCGAATCGGCACATCGCACGTTCTTCTGAACGGTTTCCAACAACTACCGTATATTATCGACAAAATCTTGCACCACTGTTGCTGCGCATTGGCACCTATACTGCATCGCTCTTTCCCCCCCTTCTCCCCGATCTTAACATTGGGTGCATGGCGAAGAGCCCTTGGGCCGCCTGGGGGCTCCCGACAAAATGTTGCACCACCGAGCTGTTTCGACCAGCCCAGACTGAACCCAATATTAAGATCGGGGGGGGGGGGGGGGAAACACACGCTTATAGAACAACGATGCGATGTATTATCCGCGCCAGGTGGTGCAACATGTTCTCGATGTACCGTAGCAATGGCGATGCTACTGAAGATGATGATGGTCACGATCATGATGATGGTGGATGTTGAGCCTCATGGCATTGCATTGCATTGTATTTGCATTTGATGGTCGGGCTTAGCACGACACGGCAGCATATAGCATAGCATTGCATAGTATCGGGCAGCACTGCATAGCATTTCATGTTTTGCCTCGCGTCGCAAACCATTTCTTGGCAATGCCTGGCATTTCATAACCATAACATTGCAAAGAAATGGTACCTGGCCACCGCGCTCCGTACCGTACATCGACAAAATCTTGCACCCCTTTTACTGCGCATGGCCACCTATACTGCATTGATCTTTCCACCACTTCTCCCCGATCTTGATATTGGGTGCATGGCGAAGAGCCCTTGGGCCGCCCGGGGGCTCCCGGAAAATTTGCACCACCAAACTGTTTCGACCAGCCCTGACGGAACCCAGTATCAAGATCGGAGAGAAGGGGGGGAACAAACGCTTATAGAACAGCGACGCGATTTATTGTGCGTGCCAGGTGGTGCAACATTTTGTCGATGTACCGCAGTGATGAATGGCGTATGGCTTTCAGACTGTAGCTCCTGTCTGAAGACTAGGCACGCTCCTCTTAAAACACATCCTACAAGAAATGCACGGCTGATTTCGTTTTAAATTGTGGCTGTCGCCCTAGCGCCACCTATATATATATATATATATATATATATATACTAGAACCATCGCGCGCGCTTCGCGCGCGCTTTGGTTCTAGCCGAGATCACGGAAAGGCCCCTGAAGAAGTATCAAGGTAGGCCCATTCTTATGTGTATATACATACGTATGTCCGCACTTCTCCTCCTCCTCCTCCTCCTTCTCCTCCTCCTTCTTCTCTTCTCCCTCCTCCTTCGCCCTCTTCCTCCTCCCCTTCCTCGCCTGTCTCTTTCCTCCGTTTCCTTCGTTTCCTTTCTTCTCCTCCGCCACCTCCTCCTCCCTCATTTGCTTCTGCTCCTCCAACACGTTCTTATCCTCCTCCTCTTCCCTCTCCTCCTTGTCCTCCCCCTCCTCCTCCTCCTCCCCCTCCTCCTCCTCCTCCTCAATATCCCCCGCCCTTCCTCCTCCCCCCCCCCTTCCCTGGCCCGGCGCCTCCCGATCCGGGCGCCCTCCCAGGTCCGGATACCTCTGGGAACCGTAGGCCACGCGACCCTTGAAGTCGGCCCCAGGAGTCCTCCGAATCCTTCGGTCCCTGGGCGCTCCTGACCTCTAGGGTCGAAGATCCTCAATCGCGGCCCCGCGACCCATCGGCTTCCGACTCTTCGGCCCCGCGACCCGCGGAGTGACGAGGAAGGACACGCGGCAGAAGCAAGGGAGAGAGAGGGAGAAGTCGAGGGGAAGCAGGGGGGGCGGAGGAAGAAGAGGGAGAGTAGGAGGAAGAGCAGCCAGAGGAGGAGGATCAGAGGAAGGAGGAGGAGGGGGAAGGGCCGCCCTGGAGGGATCAGGCGCTTGAGCAAGGGGATGGGACTTATGTTCCCGGGAGTCTTCCTGGGAACATCTTGCGCGATAGGAGGAGGAAGAACCCGAGAAATAAAGGGGGGAACGAGAAGGAGGATAATATCGGTGAGGTGGAGAAAGGGAGGCACGCGGAATTACATTCCCGGGAAGCTTCTCGAGAACATATTTCGTGACAGCAGGAGGAGAAGGAGGAGCCCGAGAAGGAGGAGGAGGACAGGAAGGAGGAGGAGGGCTAGAGCAGGAGGAGGAATCTCGCGAAGGAGGGAGGAGGAGAATGAGGAGGAAGAGGAAGAGGAGAGGGAGGAGCAGGAGGATGAGAAGGACGAGGAGGACAGACACGCAGGACAAGGTGAGCGGCAGGAAGAGGAGGGGGAGCAGGACGAGCAGGGCATACATCGGCGCTACGAAAGTTTTGACCCGTTTTGCGTTTTCAACTAAAAAGCGAACCTCATTTTGCAGGAAGTCCTGTGCGGGAGCGCCATTTCGAAATCGAGGCAGAAAGGTTTCGACTTCTATGTTTGAGGAAGTCCTGCGCGGGAGCGCCATTTCGAAATCGATGCAGAAAAGTTTCGAATTCTGTGTTTGCGGAAGTCCTAGGCGGAGGCGCCATTTCGAAATCGATCCCGAAAGTTTCGAAATCGTTGGACATCGTTTTTTCTAGGAGATATCAAGCGAAACCGCCGTTTTGAAATGGCCACACCGTTTGGCATTTAAAATGTGAAAAGCCCTGACCCGAAAACTCGAAAATGCAGCTTTCGCTTAGGACTTCCTCCCCAAACGAGCTCGACTGGATTTTGAAACCCTCGGGTTCGATTTCGAAATGTGGCTTTCGCCTAGGACTTCCTCCCCAAAACGAGCTCGACTGGATTTCGAAACCCGCGGGCTCGATTTCGAAAGGGCGGTGCCGCCCGAGACTGGAGCGAACATGCTTCAACCGAACATTGTTCTGGGGCCCCGCGGCCTAACGGGCCCACTGCCAACGTATTACTGGGGCCCCGTCGCCGAACGGGAGGCGTTGAATTTTGGCCGAACTTTCGTAGCGGCGAAGTAAGGAGTAGGCGGAAGGGAAGGAGGGTGAGGAGGAGAAGAAGGGGAGCGGGAGGAAGGGAGGTTCAGGGGGAGCAGGAGGAGGTAGAAGAAGGACAGGGGGAAGTGCAGGAGTAGCATGTTGAGCAGCCGCAGCAGGAGGAGGACATGAGAAGAAAGTCGAAGAGGCAGGGTGGCGAAAAACAAAAGAAACACTCGAATGCAAGCAAAGAAATTATGTTCCCGGCAGGCGTTCCGGGAACGTACTTCGAGAGACCGGGAGAGAGCTCCACAAGCAGGTGGGTGAGAAGGTGGAGAAGGGGGGCGGGAGGAGGGGGAAGGGGGAGGTGCGGGAGTAGCATGAAGAGCAGCCGCAGCAGGGTGAGGATCAGGGAATGACGATGGAGCAGGGCGGCGAAGAACACAAAAACAAAAACACTCGAGGAATGCTGTTCCTGGCAGTTCCGGGAATACGTTTATATTTCCTGAGACCGGGAGAAAGCTGGACAACCAGAAGAAATGAGGAGCAGGAAGGTGATAAGGCGGACAAGAGGCAGGGTGAGACGCAGTTTTTTCAAGCCTCTTGGGGTATGCTCTGGTGTATCTCGGGGCCTTTTTTGGCCTCTTGGGCGGCCTGGGCATGTGGAGGGCCTCTGTGAGCTTTTTTTGTTCGCCTCTCGGGGTCCGTGTCGGAACTCCTTTGGACCGCTTTGGGGGCTTCTTGTGCCGTCTTGGGGCCCTCTTGGGCCGTCGTGGGGGCCGCTTGGAGCTCTCTGGGGCCGTCCTGGTGCGGTGTAGGAGGCGTCGTGGGCCGTCTTGGAGCGCTCTGGGGCTGGTTTTGGGTCTCCGTCCGAAGGTAAACAAGATGTCCGGGGTCGCCGCTGCCGCCTCGGAGGCCCTGGAACAGCGAAACCCTGTAAAAAACACACGGAAAATGAGCCCCGGAGCCCCCATGGGAAGCGCAGGTCCACTCCTGGCGGCCTCGGAAAGTGAGCCCCGGAGCCCCCATGGGGGGCGCAGGTCCACTCCTGGCGGCCTCGCTCCTGTTCCGAGGGCATATATATATATATATATATATATATATATATCGGAGGTGAGGGGGTGAAATCGAAGTGGAACGGAGAGCCCCCCTACCGGGAAATCGATTTCGGTTTCGTGTTCGTGCGTGCCGTGCGTGCGGGCGAGGCGAAGCTGCGTGGGCGGGCGAGAAGAAAGTCTCCTGTGGCTGAGGCGCGGCCGGACCAAATGTCTCCCTTCCGGGCGGCCGGTGGCCCGCGGTGTCCCGCCGGTGTCCCGCTGGTGTCCCGTGTGGCTGAGGCGCGGCCGGACCAAATGTCTCCCTTCCGGGCGGCCGGTGGCCCGCGGTGTCCCGCCGGTGTCCCGCGGTGTCCCGCGGTGCCCCGCGGTGCCCCGCGTGTCCCGCCGGTGTCCCGCGTGTCCCGCGATGATGAT